ACTTATGATTTTCCATTTGTTTATAAATTAGAACCATCCTAGTGAGTGTGAAGTGGTACCTCATTGTGGTATTGATTTGCATTTCCCTAATGACTAATGAGGAGGTCTGGTAGCATAGTGCCTAAGACACTTGACTGCTAACCAGCAGTCTGGCAGTTCAAACCCACAAGCCACTCCTCCGAAGGACGGTCGGGCAATCTACTTCTGTAGTGATACTTCCCCCGAAACCCAGGGAGGGGTTGCTATGAGTTGTCGGCACATAACAACAACAACAAATGACTAAGGGGGAGCTCTAGTGGCGCTGTGGTTAAAGGATTCAACTGCTAACCAAAAAGTCGGTGGTTCAAACCCATCAGCTGCTGTGTAGGAGAAAGATGAGGCAGTCTGTGTCTGTAGAAGTCTGTAGCCTTTATAAACCCCATGGAACAGGTGTACTCTGTCTTGTAAGGTTGTTAGGAGTCAGAATCGACTTGATGGTGAGTTTTTTTTTTTTTTAAATGACTAAAGAAGTTGATCATCTTTTCATATGCTTGTTGGCCATTTGTTTATCTTCTTTGGAGAGATGTCTATTCAAGACCTTAGCCCTTTTTAAAATAGTCTTTTTGTTGGTGAGTTGTAAGAGTTTTTTTACATATATGTGTATATACATATATACGTGTATGTGTGTGTGTGTGTGTGTGTGTGCGCGCGCGCGCATGCGCGCGCCGTTGAGTCAGACCTGACTCATAGCAACCCCTCCTTGGGTTTCTGAGGCAGTATCACTACGGAAGTGGATTGCCCCAACTTCCTTCTGAGGAGTGACTGGTGAGTTTGAACCGCCAGCCTTCTGGTTAGCAGTCAAGTGCCTTAGGCACTATGCTACCAGAGCTCCTAATTTGGCCATAGATGTATGGGTTAATTCTATATTATGAATTTTATTCCATATTTGTCCTTATACAAGTTCAGTACTATTGTTTTTTAATTTTTATTGTGATTTGAGTGAAAGTTTACAGAGCAAATTCATTTTCCATACATACACATTTTGTTTCATGACATTGACTGCAATTTCCCACAGTGTAATAACAGCTCTCTTCCCCCTTCCTCCCTATTGTTATCTCTTCCCTGTCCTCCTTTCCTGTGCATTCCTGCCCCGGAGCTATTTCCCTGTGCAAACCTTGCCCTTCTGTTCTCCTATCACTCCAAGGAGTGTATCTACCTCATGTAAATGTTCACCTCATATGCCTGTTTATTGTTTGGCTGAAACCACAAGAGTGAGTTCAGTTCTAGACCTGAAGGGTAACTCGGGGCCATAGCTCAGGGATCTCACCAAGCTATCAGCCTAATAAACCTGATCTTTTTTTTTTTTTTTTTATGATTTTGAGTTTTGTTCCACATTCTTTTCCCACTCTACCCAGGATCTCCTGCACTGATCCCTTTCCGAGTGGTTGACAGTGGCACCATCTAGTTCTTCTGGTCTCATGATATAGGCTGAGGATCGCTTGGTCTACTAGTCCCTTGGTCCGATTGTACTGTTTGTACAATGCTCTTTTGATCACTGTAGCTTTGTAGTAAATTTTAGAATCAGGAAGGGTGAGTTTTCCAACTTCGCTCTTCTTTTCAGCTTTATTTTAGCTGTTTGAGGTTATTGGGAACATTTTGCTATATTTGTACTCCTGCTTCTCTCTGAGCCTAGGTCTTGTTGTTTGTTTGATGAGCCGTTTGAACCAGTGTGGGTATTATGAGAGTTCACCCCATGTATCACCTAAAAACAAGGGCATTCTTCTTTAGAGCCATAATACTGTTGTCACATCCAAATAATGTAAAATCACCTCACATATAGTTCATCCTCAGGAGCTCTGGTAGCGTAGTGCCTAAGGCACTTGACTGCTAACCAGAAGGTTGGCGGTTCAAACCCACCAGCCACTCCTCAGAAGGAAGGTTGGGCAATTTACTTCTGTCGAGATACTGCCTCAGCAACCCAAGGAGGAGTCACTATGAGTTGGGGCCGACTCGACGGCATATAACAGCAACAACAAATAGTTCATCTTCATATTTCTCTGGTTGCCCTCCCTTGCCCCATGCAAGTGATACTGTTTATTTTATAATTCATTCAGCCTATTATTTGGATGGAAGATGATCACTGGAGGTGGCTGTCTGGGACGATCTATTGTGTCCCTGGTCAGACGATTAGTAGCGGGGCACCATCTAGTTTGGATCTCAGGCTAGGTGATGCCATGGTTCATGTGGGCTGTTTGTCCTGTGAACTAGTTTCTTCTTTGAGTCTTTGGTTTCCTTCATTCTCTTTTGTTCCAGATGAGGGGAGAACAATAGTTGTGTTTTGTATGGCTGCTTGCAAGCTTTATTTAAAATTTGTATTGTGATTTGGATGAAAGTTTACAGAACAAATTCATCTTCCATACAGTAGTTCATACATATTTTGTTTCATGATATTGACTGCAATCCCTGCAGTGTAATAGCTCTCTTCCCACTTCCTCCCTGTGGTTACCTCTTCCCTGTGTCCTTCTTTCCTGTGCATTCCTGCCCCCTGACCTGTGCAAATACTGCCCTTCTGTCCTCCCACGATTGGTCATTGTAAGGAGTGGATCTACTTGATGTAAATGTTCACTTCTGTTGTTTGGTTGGAAGCCATGGGAATGGTTCAGTTCCAGACCTGAAGGGTAACTAATGGCCATGGTCTCAGGGGTCTCACCAGGCACAATCAGACCTACTAATTTTTTTTCCCTTCCATGATTTTGAGTTTTGTTGCACATTATTCTCCTGCTCTATCCAGGATCTCCTGCACTGATCCCTCTTTGAGTAATTAACAATGGTAGCCAGTCACCATCTAGTTCTTCCGGTCTCATGGTCTTATAGGCTGAGGTCACATGGTACACTAGGCCCTTGGACTAATTGTTTTCATGTGTCTTTGGTTTTCTTCATTCTTCTATGCTCTGGATGAGGAGAGATCCATTGATCTCAAGCTTTTAAGATCTCACACACTCCTCACCAAACTAGGATGTAGAACATTGTCTTTATGAACCACATTTTTAATGCCAGTTGACCAGGTTAACCTACAAGACTGTGATCCCAAGCCTTCAAACTCAGTAAACATAACCTGGGAGGTGCTTGGCTGTGATCTCTAGTTAGCTTTTATAGCTTTAAAATTTTTAAGACCCTCAAGACTTAATTATTTTCTCATTTGAATATTTTGTTCAAACCATGTGTTTTCAATACTGGAAAGCATTTTGAATAAAACAAAAACATTTTTTTTTTTTGAGATAATATGGATTTTGATACAGTTAGTGGTACACATGTCCTGAGGAGTCTTTGGTGCTGGGATTGGTGGGATGAGGATCATTACTCAGATTCACACAGTTATACAGGCCCCCACCAGATGGCACCATGCACCAAAAGTGGGAAAGCTTCTCAGTAAACCCCCGGAAGTGGAAAGCATTAGGTGGGCACTGTATGTCCCACAAGTCACAAAAGGGTTAAATTGGGCTCCAGTCCAGCATCATACTTTGCATTTGATAGTCAGCTCTCCTCAGTCCTGTTCTGTCTAGAATAATTCTCAGCTTTTTTTTTTTTTTTTTTGTCTCTCCTGACACTGGCAGTTTTGAAGAGATTGACAGGTTGACTGTCTTGCTGCAGAATGTCCCACAGTCTGGAGTTTGTTGTTTCCTGTGGCTATGCTTAGGTTAGAGTACTGCACAAGTGCTATGTCTGTTCTCTCGCATGTGTCAGGGGGCACACATTATGTTGGTTTGCCCTGTGTGGCCAAGGTGAGGTGCAACACATGCCTATTGAATGAGTGAATGACTTATAGTGATGATATTAATGGTGAACAAATTGATATAGGGCTTCCCATGTGCCAGGCACTCTAATTAGCATATGAACAAACTTACTGTGGATTCCTGGTGGCTCAGTAAAGTGGTCACTGCTAACTGAAAGGTTGGTAGTTCAAGCCCACCAGGTGCTTTACAGTAGAAAAATGCAGCAGTCTGCTTCTGTTAAGATTGCAGTCTTGGAAACCCTGTGGGGCGATTCCACTCTATGCTGCGGCATTGCTGTGAGTCAGAATTGACTGAATGGCAGTGGGAAGAGCTTACTGGATCTTTATCCCACCTGTGTGACAGATGAGAAAGTTGAGGCTTGGAGAGGCTAGGTGACTGCCCACATTAGGAGGCATGGGTGTGCCATGGACCAAGGTAACGTTCATTCCTCAGTCACTGCACTGTGGAAATGGGTTCATGAAAGGGGTCAGCTGAAGAAAGCAGAAGCCCCTCCAGGAATTCTGTCTTGACATACTTGCTTGATCTCAGCTCATGAACCCACCATATAACGCAGTAGGATTGTTGAATGAATGGTTGACTTCCTCAGCTAGGCCCAGGCACCTCCCACAGCCCTTCTGATCTTGCTGTGGTTGCCCTTTTCTTGCTTATCTCTCTCTGGGGACCAGGGCATTGCCCAGTGGACCCATGGAGCTTGGCACCAGGAGGTGCTCCCTGAAAGAATGTTCTGGCAGAGATGCCCTGCATCAGGACACCTTCCTGGTCCTCAGGCTAGGGCCCATGGTACCAGGGTTCCTCATCTCATCTTGGGCCCTCTGGATATGCATCCTCTCACTGGATGCTGGGCTCCTGATAGCACAGGCTGGGCCTCGCTTGCCTGCAGTGATTGCACTGAGGGCAGATTATGAGGTACTAGGAAGAATTTGGGAGCTCTGGTAGCATAATGGCTAAAGCGCTTGACTGCTAACCAGAAGGCTGGCGGTTCAAACCCACCAGCCACTCCTCGGAAGGAAGGTTGGGCAATCCTACTTCTGTAGTGATACTGCCTCGGAAACCCAAGGAGGGGTCGCTATGAGTCGGGGCCGACTCGACGGCACATAACAACAACAACAACAGGAAGAATTTGGGGGGCTGGCAAGAGAAGGGAGGGTAAACGGGGGTGAGAAATGGCCTTGACAAAGGTAGCCCCAGGGAGCTGCCCGCTAACGCTAGTCCACTGTTCTCTCACAGATGAAGATGTGTGTGTGTTTAAGTGCTCGGTGTCTCGAGAGACAGAGTGCAGCCGGGTGGGCAAGCAGTCCTTCATCATCACCCTGGGCTGCAACAGCGTGCTCATCCAGTTTGCCACGCCCAATGGTACGTCCCTTCTATGCTGGGGGCTCTGCTGAACTATGGTGGGGAGGGACCTCTGGGGCCTGGTTAAAGTGTAGCCCATTCCTACTAAGGGCAAAAATCACATTCCCACATGGAAGTAAAAAAAAGGAGCTCTGGTAGCATAGTGGCTAAAGCACTTGACTGCTAACCAGAAGGCTGGCGGTTCAAACCCACCAGCCACTCCTCGGAAGGAAGGTTGGGCAATCCTACTTCCGTAGTGATACTGCCTCGAAAACCCAAGGAGGGGTCGCTATGAGTCGGGGCCGACTCGACGGCACATAACAACAACAACAAGGAAATAAATGGGAAGTAGACATTCCCGCTGCCTGGAGTGCACTTACCAGACTCTTCCCAATGACTCCTTGTCCCCTCCCCTGAGAGGCCCGTCCTGACCACTGAGGCCCAGCAGCTCCCAGGCCTCATGGGAGGAGTCTGTCAGGGCAGTCAGTCATGGCCAGAGCACAGCGGATGCAGGAGGGTTGAGGTCTTAGAGGTGGGTGGAAGATTTGCTCTGAGTGCATAGAGAGACCTCCTAACTTCTCTGGGGGGCACGAGTGGACCTACAAGATGCCTGAAGAGGGCTGTGGAAGGCAGGTGTGTGCACTGCTGGTTGAGGTGGGTGCAAGCCATGGAGGTGGTCTGGAGACTGGAAGGCCAAGCAAAGGGCACACTCACTGGAGAATGATGTGAGTCTCCTGGGGCAAGGGCGATGGAGGGGTGACATCAGAATTTGCCTGCCTCCCGCTTTTTCCAGGAGCCCTTCTCACCTGGTTCGTGCCCCCATGGGGGCATCTCCCAGGGCCCAGACAAGCCTCAGGCCTGTGGAAACGGCCAGGCCCAGAGGGCGTTCCTCTAGCTGAGGCATTTTTATGCCCACAATGTGTTTCTTCAAGTGCATAAATAATCTAAATTCACTATTTAAAAAAAAATAAGGTAAAAAAAAACACACACCAGGGATAACTATTAACGGTGGTATAAATCCTTGTAATCTTTTTCTAGACTATAAATAAATAAATAAATAAATAAATACACACACATATATATATGTATGTATGTATATTTCAGGATCATATTGTTGTTAATACTATTCTATTTTTTTACTTGCTATGATGTTGGGATTGTCAGGTGTGCTGATAAATAAAGATTCTTTTAAAGGGGTGCATAGCCCTCTGTGCTGTGGCGGGCCATGGTTTGTCCTCTTTCTGCTTCTCAGTCTCACTGTGGTCTGTCCAGACTTTGAGATTGCACCCCTGTGTCCACCACCAAGCACAGACACTGCCGTGAGCCTCTTGGTGGACACGCAGTGGTTTGTTGGGGTGATTCCAGAGGTTTGCAGCCTGGGTCAGTGGCAGCTGCCCTTTTAGGCTTTGGCTCACCTACCCTTCAGCGAGGACTTCTTGGGTCTACTCCCACCAGACACCCGAACACACTCTACCCCAGGGTGTGGAGTAGTACCTGCCTCTGCCCTTTATCAGTTACCAGTTGGCAAGCTTGGTTGCTCTTCTTATTTTCCTTTAAATTTAAACACTACTTTTGGGAAAAAGAAATCACCAAGTACTACGTGCTACAGGTAGAAAAGTCAGGATGTGTAGCCAGATAGGAAGAAAGCCACCAGCCTATTCGAAACCTGCTCCCTGGGATGGCCATGCATGCCAACCTCCTGGGGCAGGCAGGTCGTTGCCCACTCCTTGGTGACCTAGCTTCCCCTTTCAGATTTCTGTTCCTTCTACAACATCTTGAAAACCTGCCGGGGCCACACCCTGGAGCGATCCGTGTTCAGCGAGCGGACGGAGGAATCCTCTGCAGTGCAGTACTTCCAGGTGGGTGTGGCAACCCCCCACAGCTAGGGCTCCTCACCTAGCAGGCCCTGTCCCCCCAGTGAGGGGTGCACCATTGTGTCTTGAAGCATAAGGCAGGCAGACCTGAGTCAAGCCCTGGCTCTGCCCCCTACTAGCTGCCTAACATTGGGCCTCAGTTTGCTGGGCCTCAGTTTCCTCATCTGTGTAATGGAGATGTAGGTGCCTGCCTGAGAGGGTTGCTGGAAGGATTTAATGGCAGAGGAAGCTCAGGTTCCCAGGAGTTTCCAATTATCATGATAGAGCAATTAAAATTTACTGAACATTATTGCATGCCAGGGATTGGTCTAAGCTCTTATGTGTACAGAAGCAGTTGAATTCTCCCAACCACCCTAGGAGGTAAGTACTATTACTGTCCCCATTTTACAAATGAGAAAACTGAGGCTCAGAGAGGTTAAGTGACTTGCTGCAAGTCACACAGCTATTGTTCAGCAGAGCTAAGATGGGAAGCCAGGTCTGCCTGATGCTAGAGCCTATGCCCTTGCCCAGGTGCCATGCTGCCTCCCGACCGCCTGTTGTCTTACAGAGAGACACTGCACTTCATCTGCCTGGTGCTCTGAGTTCTAGGGTTCTGTTTACCTACTCCTTCTCCTCTTGGGGCCCCTAAGATGGGGCAGGTGGCTCCTCATCCCAGAACCCCGCCTATGGCTAATCTGAGTTCTCCTGGGTGGCATTCAGGTGTAGGCAGCCTGCAGCTGGGTCCTTCCAGCCTCTGTGGCTGTGATGGTGGGAGTCCCTCCTGAGGGCTGCTCTCCAGCTCCCTCTTTCTGGAGTAGCCAGCAGGTGCCAGCAGAGGACTTTCAGCCACCTGAGTGACGTGTCCCAGATGGCCCACCTCTTCTTTGGGGCCACCAGGGCCTCAGCCCTCTGTCCCACAGTGTCCCCTGCTGCTATTGGTGTGTCTCTGTTCCAGTTTTATGGCTACCTGTCACAGCAGCAGAACATGATGCAGGACTATGTGCGGACAGGCACCTACCAGCGTGCGATCCTACAGAATCACACTGACTTCAAAGACAAGGTGAGCGCTGGGCTTGGGCAGGCACAGGCCTGGGCTGCCAAGGCTAGGGGCGAGTGGGAGGACTGGGCCCTGGAAGAGCTGGAGGCCGAGTGGAGCAGCTTGGCTGCTCTGCCTCCTGCCTCTCATCGCGGCCTCACACGCACCTTTCCTCAGCTTCCCCCACCCCCCACCCTGCCTGCCTGTGGCTGTCAGTTGCCTCTACTTTAATTTTCTTTGATCATTGATTTTATCTTTAATTTTTTCTGATTACAAAAGTAAAATCTACCCATTGTAAAAACTCAAAGAAGGAAGTGTGTGCAATGTAGAAAGGAAAGGTCTCTAGCATTTCCATCCAAAACAGCTGTTGTCAACAGTCTCTTCCAGTTTCCCCATGCATATCAACATAGACTTTAGAATGACTTCATTTAATATGTATGTGTAATTTTTAACAAAATAGGATTATTTTAACATACCTTCCCTGTAAAACACCCTTTTCCCCCTAATAGTATGTCTTAGGACATCTTCCACATTGCTATGCATGTCACTACCTTGTTGTTGTCATGTGCCATCTAGTCGGACCCGACTCATAGCGGCCTGTCTTTGGGTTTCCAAGGCGGTATCACCACAGAAGTAGATTGCCCAGCCTTCCTTCCGAGGAGTGGCGGGTGGGTTTGAACCGCCAGCCTTCTGGTTAGCAGTCAAGTGCCTTAGGCACTATGCTATCAGAGCTCCCTGTCACTACCTTACTATATAGTATTTCTCCATGTGGATGTACTGCAATTTATATACTTACTTCCCTAGTTTCCTTTCAGTCTTTTTAAAATCACCACGTAGTATATGTTGTTGTTAGTTGTGGTGGAGAGGGTGATAGATAACTCATGGAAACCCTATGCATAATATAACAAAATGTTGCCTGGTCGGTTGTTGCAACATCGTGTGATGCCTCCCAACCTAGGGGACTCCCGGCACTCTTATCGGACAATACATTCTGTTGTCATCCACCAAGTTTTCATTGGCTGATTTGTGGAAGTAGATCACTAGACCTTTCTTCCTAGTCCATCTTATTCTGGAAGCTCCACTGAAACTTGTCCACCATGGGTGAGCCTGCTGAAATTTCGATGGCAGAGTTTCTAGCATTATAGTAACACACAAGTAAGTCATCACGGTGTGACAAACTCACAGATGAGTAGTGGAAAGAATGTAGACTCATGATTAGAGAGGGAAACAGTGCACAGTATGTGTATTAAAAGGTGAAAGTTTATTCCACATGTGTCCTGCTGCCTAGGGTTTGTTTTTGCTTTTTAACTAAAGTGGAGCCCGTTGTTTTCCTGGCCTTGTGTCCATGTGGACCTGCCTCATCCAGCGACCCAGCATTGCACCCCCTGCAGCATGCGAAGCACTTTAGGACACTGGGCCCGGGTCCCTGGGCCTACCCCTTGAGGCTTGGGGGGAATCCTGACGAGCAGTGCTGTCGTGCACCTTGCCGTTTGCCTTCCTGCCATCCCACCTCCCTCCTGGCCACTGATGGGAGCCACGCTGGAGCAGTGCTGGGGGCCCAGGAAGTGCCTGCTCCTTCAAGGATGTTCCTTCTGGCTCTCCCAGGATAGAGATCCATGTCCTGGTTTAGCTAGAGCTCTGAGAGGTACCCGATTGCCCTTCCTCTGACCAGGTGTGAATTCTGCCTGGCATTGCACCCAGAGCACACCTCTTTTGCCATACTTGTGCCCATCATGTGCTGTGCCCATCACTGCCTCTGCTGTATTCCTGCCAGAAACATCAGTCCTTATTCTGCTGATGAGTGAGCAGTCATAAAATCCAGAATGTGGCCTGACTCTTTGAAGATGGACAGGGAGCCTAGTCACCCCAGGGCTTGGGCATCTACCTACCCTAGCCAAGCCCCTGGTTGCTTTTCAGGCAGGGGTCAGCATGAAGCCAGGAGATACTGCCTTTAACACCCCCTGGGCTTTTTCCTCCCTGCGAGGGCTGCAGAGGCCAGAACAACACCTTTTAGCTGCAGTACAGGCTTGAGGGGGCACAGCCCTCATCCTAGATGATCCAGAGGCCTGCGGGTCACACGGTCGGGGCCGAGTGGGGGCTTTGCCTGGAGGGCTCCTCCTCCCAGGTTGCTGAGAAGTCCTAAAGAGTCTAGCTTCAGAGGTGGCCCCTTCTTACAGTGTGGGTATGTCTTGTCCACCTTGAGCCTCAGTGGTCATGCTACAGGACTCCAAGGTGTCCCTATCTACCGAGCACTCATTTCCAGAGAAGCTGCAGGGACTGGGACACTGTGACAGCAAAGTGTTTACCTTTCTGCAGAGATGGGCTACAGTCCAAACTGTTACCTTTTTGAAACTGGTCCAATAATGTGCCTTTAGAAATCCTGTTCTACCCCCTTCTGGTCCAGAACCTGGGGCTCCCATGTGCTTGTAGGTGGTTCACAGACTCTAGCCTATGGCCTGTGTTGAGGGGCTGCGAGGTGCAGGGTGGCACCTGAGGCTGAGAACTCAGGCTCAGCAGTGGGCCAGGCCCACTTGCCTCCTTACCTCCTACTGTGGGAACCCACTACATGCTGACGGAAGTCACAGTCTCTCTCCTCTTCCCTGCTGGCCCCATGAGTCAGTGAGATGACAAGCGCAGGAGCTTAGGCAGGGCCTGGCCCATAGCTCGATCTTACTTAATGCCTAAGGCATTTGACTGCTAACCAGAAGTCTGGAGGTTCAAGCCCATCAGCCACTCCTCGGAAAGAAGATTGGGCAATCTACTTCCATGGTGATAACCGCCTCAGAAACCCAAGGAGGGGTTGTTATGAGTCAAGACCGACTCCATGGCAGTGAGTTTGGGTTTTTTGGTTTAGATAGTTAGGAGAAACATATTTACATATTTAACATTTAGAATATATAGTTTGGATCCAACTCCATAGTAGGGTTTTTTTTTTTTTTTTTTTTGGTTATATTTTGACCAAGAGCCTGTGAAGGGCAGAATTTTATTTTCTTTTTTAAATCTATATTGTGATTTGGGTGAAAGTTTACAGAGCAAATTCATCTTCCATACAGCAGTTCATACACATTTTGTCTCATGACATTGGAAGAGCAGAAATTGAGAGTGAAGACAGGCCTGGCTGTAACCCCTGGTGTCACCACTGTTCACCAGCTCTGCAAATGAGCAAATGACCCACTTCCCTGAGCCACATGGCTGGGCAAGAAGAACATTAGTAATGGTGTTAAGTGGTACAGTTGTGCATGGAGAACGCTCTCCACCACCCGGCTGGCTAGAAAGGAGTGAGCCTGGTCAGTGTGAGCACCGTAGTCACCGTCCCTTCACCACCATCTGTTCTCGCCTCCCTGCCCCAGATTGTTCTTGATGTTGGCTGTGGTTCTGGGATCCTCTCGTTTTTCGCCGCCCAAGCTGGAGCAAGGAAGATCTATGCGGTGGAGGCCAGCACCATGGCCCAGCATGCGGAGGTCAGTGGCCTACTGGGACCCTACCCTATCCTTGTCCTTGTCCTTCAGCCCTGGAGCCTGGCAGCAGACGGCAGGAAATGGCCCTGCAAGACCCCCCAGGAGCACAGGTCTTTTTGGGGAGGGCCTTGAGTTTCAGGAGGCCTGACCCTTGGGTCCAGGGAACCTAAGGATGTCACTTCTTCACTTAGTCTCTCCTTTGTCATAAACCAGAGTGGTCATGGGAGGGAGGGGCTTCCTTGGCCTGAGTTGCTGCCACCTCCTGTCTGCCAGGTTCAGGGGCTGTTCAGTGTCTTTGGAGGTGGGCCAGCCTTATGCTGCAGGGGGTGGGCTATGAGATTGCATAGCCACCTGGACAGCCCTGGGTGAGCAGCCCCACCACCCTGAGCCCCATTTTCTATATCTGTATTTTGTATTTGATCAGTCAGTTGTTTTCTTTTTCTTTCTGCACTTAAGCCTTTGTTCATATGGTTCACAATCCAAAGTTACAAGAGCACAGACCATGAGAATGTTTCCCTTCCCACTTCCTAGCTCCCAACCACCTGGACCCCTCACTGGAGGGAGACAGATACAGAAGATCTAGAGCTGGCTTGTGGATTTGTCAGTAGAGACGTTCTTCTCCCCACCCCGCCCCCTCGGTCACAGAAAGGGCAACGGACTGCCATCTTGCACTTGCTTTGTTCCCTTTATGATGTATCTTGGGGCTGTTCTGGGTCATTGTATAAAGACCTGCCTCATTCTTTTTAGTGGCTGGACATACCATTGTATATTTTGCCAGTTTCCTTTTGACGTTTAGCCTGTTTACTGATCTTTTCCATTACAAACAATGCTGCACCAACTCCTGACTGTGTGTCCCCTCTCCCACGGTCTGTGGGATAAATTCCTAGTCTTAGAACCTTGGCCACCACTCGTCTCAGTTAGTCGTACTCTGGTGGCTTGTGTGTTCCTATGAGGCTGGAGGCTATGCCACCGGTATTTTAAAACACCAGCAGGGTCACCCGTGGTGGACAGGTTTCAGTGGAGCTTCCAGACTAAGATAAGCTGGGAAGAAGGAAGGGGCCATCTACTTCTCCAAAAATTGGCCAGTGAAAACCTTACGAATAGCAGTGAAACACTCTCTGATATATTGTTGGAAAACTTTATGAATAGCCCTGAAACATTGATACAGTGCCAGAGATGAGCCTTTCAGGTCAGAAGGCACTCAAAAATACTATTAGAAAAGAGCAGCCTCTTTAGAGTAGAGCCGACCTTAATGATGTGGATGGAGGAGAACTTTTGGGACCTCTGTTTGCTGATGTGGCACCACTCAAAACGAGAAGAAACAGCTGAAAACATCCATTAATAATTGGAACATGGAATGTACGAAGTATGAATCTAGGAAAATTGGAAGTTGTCAAAAATGAAATGAAACACATAAAGATCAACATCCTAGGCATTAGTGAGCTGAAATGGACCAGTTTTGGCTATTTTGAACCTGACAAACATATGATCTGTATGCTGGGAATGACAAATTGAAGAGGAACAATATGGCATTCATCGTCACAAGGAATGTTTCAAGATCTATCCTGAAGTACAATGCTGTCAGTGATAGGAAAATATCCATATGCCTCCAAGAAAGACCAGTTAGTACTACCACTATTCAAATTTACACACCAACCACCAAAGCCAAAGATGAAGGAACTGAAGATTTTTACCAGCTTCTGCAGTCTGAAATTGACCAAACATGCAGTCAAGATATGTTGATTATCGCCAGTGATTGGAATGCAAAAGTTGGAAACGAAGAATCACCTGGCTGGAAAATACAGCCTCGGTGATAGAAATGATGCTGGAGCTCACATGATAGAATTTTGCAAGACCAGTGACTTACTCATCACAAATACCTTTCTTCAACAACATAAATGGCAGCTATACCCATGGACTTCCCAGATGGAGTACACAGGAATCAGGTGGACTACATTTGTGGCAAGAGGCAATGGAGAAGCTCGGTATCTTCAGCCAAAACGAGGCTAGAAGGTGACTGTGGAACAAGCCATCAGTTTCTCATATGCAAGTTCAAATTGAAGTGGAAGACAATTAAAACAAGTCCATGAGAGCCAAAATATGACCTTAATTTTATCCCTCCTGGATTTGGAGACCATCTGAAGAATAAATTTGATGCACTGAACACCAGTGACCAAAAACCAGAGAAATTGTGGGATGACATCAAGAACATCATCCATGAAGAAAGTAAAAGGTCATTAAAAAGACAGGAAAGGAAGACAAGACCAAAATGGATGTCAGAAGAGACTCTGAAATTTGCCCTTGAATGGTGAGTAACTCAAGCAAATGGAAGAAATGATAGGATAAAAGACCTGAACAGAAGATTTCAAAGAGCAGCTTGAGAAGACACAATCGTTATAATGAAATGTGCAAAGACCTGGAGTTAGAAAACCAAAAGCTGAAAGAACTGAGGAAAAAACTCAAGCCTTGCGTTGCAATATTGAAAGATTCTATGGGCAGAATATTGAACGATGCAGCAGGAAACATCAAAAGAGATGGAAGGAATACATGGTCACTGTACCAAAAAGAATTGGTTGATGTTCATCCATTTCAAGAGGTGCCATATGGTCAAGAACCAATGGTATTGAAGGAAGAAGTTGAGTCTTCACTAAAGGAATTAGTGAAGAACAAGGCTCCAGGAATTGATGGAATACCCATTGAGATGTTTTAATTAATAGATGCCATGCTGGACGCATTCACTCGTCAATGCCAAGAAATTAGGAAGACAGTTACCTGGCCAACTGACTGGAAGAGATCCATATATGTACCTATTCCAAAGAAAGGTGATCCCACAGAATGTGGAAATTATTAAACAATATCATTAATGTAACACACAAGTAAAATCTTACTGAAGATAATGCAAAAATGGTTGCTGCAGTATATTGACAGAAAACTTCCAGAACTGCAAGCTGGATTCAGAAGAGGACATGGAATGAGAGATATCATTGCTGATGTCAGATGGACCTTGGCTGAAAGCAAAGAATACCAGAAAGATGTTTACTTGTGTTTTATTGACTATGCAAAAGCATTCGATTGTGTGGGTCATAACAAATTTTGGATAACATTGAGAAGAATGGGAATTCCAGAACACTTAATTGTGTTCATGAGGAACTGTACATAGAGCCTGTTTGAACGGAACAAGGGAATATTCATGGTTTAACATCAAGAAGGGCGTGTGTTGGGGTTGTGTCCTTTCACCATACTTATTCAGTCTGTATGCTGAGTAACTAATCCGAGATGCTGGACTATATGAAGAGGGTGGTGTCAGAACTGGAGAAAGACTCATGAGCAGCCTGCAATATGCAGATGACATAACTTTGCTTGCTGCAAGTGAGGATGATTTGAAGCACTTATTGATGAAAATTAAAGACTACCGTCTGTTATAGATGACATCTCAACATAAAGAAAATGAAAATCCTCACAACTGGACAAATAAGCAGCATCACGATAAATGGAGACCAGATTCAAACCAATGGAAGCAGCAGTCAAGATATCAGACGACATATTGCACTGGGCAAATCTGCTGCAAAAGACCTCTTTAAAGTGCTGAAGAGCAAAGATGTCTCTTTGAAAGACTAAGGTGCGCCTAACCTGAGCCATGGTATTTTCAGTTGCCTCATATCCATGAGAGCTGGACAGTGAATAAGGAAGACTGAAGAAGAATTTATGCTTTTGAGTTGTGGTGTTGGCAAAGAATATTGAAAGTACCATGGACTGCCCAAAGAACTAACAAATCTGTCCTGGAAAAAGTGCAGCCAGAATGCTCTTTGGGAGCAATTATGACCAGACTTCGTTAGGCCTATTTTGGTCTTGTTGTCAGAAGGAACTATTCCCTGGAGAAGGATATCATCCTTGGTAAAGTGGAGGGTCAGTGAAGAAGGGGGAGGCCCTCAACAAGATGGATTGATACAGTGGCTGCGGCTATGGTCTCAGGTATAGCAAGAATTGTGAGGCTGACATAGGACTAGGCAGTTTCGTTCTATTATACACAAGGTCACTGTGAGTCGGAGCCGACGCAACACCTACAAACAACAACAGAATCTGGGGTTAGAAGATGAGGCCAGCTCTAAGTTTAGTGGCTGTTGCAAAGTTAACTCAGACCCATCTTGATTCCCAGTAATAGTTGCCCTCATGCGGGGGAGGAGATGGTGAGGGGCTGCATCAGGGAAGGCTTTGGGAAAGGGCTGTTAGTGGGCCCTGAAAGTTACAGTTCTGGAAAAGATGATAGGAGGCTTACAAGGGAGAGCAAGGTGACCTTGGTGGCCGGGTATGGATGGAGGCCCTCCTTGAGAGGAACATTGGCGTTGGGGTCAAGGAGCGCCCACTCCATGACCCCTCTGGCCTGCCCACCCACAGGTCTTGGTGAAGAGTAATAACCTCACCGACCGTATCGTGGTCGTCCCTGGGAAGGTGGAGGAGGTCTCACTTCCCGAGCAGGTGGACATCATCATCTCAGAGCCCATGGGCTACATGCTCTTCAATGAACGCATGCTGGAGAGCTACCTCCATGCCAAGAAGTACCTGAAGCCCAGCGGTGAGTGGCCTGCAGTGCACAGGGGTCTAGGGGTGGCCTCTGGACCATGCTGGGTTCCATCAGTGGGAGTTCTGTGGGCTCTCGGCTCTGAAGCCAGAGGTGCACCTGCCAGCATGTTTGGGGTTCAGCTCCTTGCTCTCCTGCATTGGGGCCCTAGTGAGTAATGGGAGTCTGGGCCTTCACCCCCAACCCCCATCCTGACCCCAGCTGCTGTGGCTTCAGGAGCCCAGAGACCCAAACAAGGTCAGACATCCATCTGCCTAACCTCTTCTAATCTGGGTGCAGAGGGGCCTACCTCAGGCCCCCAGATAGCCTTGGGCTATACCGGCCTTGGCTCCTACTGCCACAGGGATGGTCTCTGGCTGGGGTAGGGGTCATGACAGGTACAAAGAATGTAATGATGTCCTGCGGCAGGCAGTTGCCCTGAAGAACTGACCCGTCTTCACTCTTCACCTGTAAACCTTTTCCTTACGCTGGGTATGCTGTCCTGACAGGTCCCTACTCTTCAGGGAGTCAAGGACACAGGGTAGGGGTTCGTGTGTGTGTGTGCCCGCGCGTGCGTGTGAGAGTGTGTGTGTGGGGGCAAGGGAAAAGAGGGGCAGAGAGAATTGGGAGGGAAAGGCTGTGTGTGTGTGGGCAATAGAGGGGCAGAGAGAACTGGGAGGGAAAGGCTGTGTGTGTGTGTGTGTGTGTGTGTGGTGTGAGAGGGAGAGAGTGGAGGAGCCTGTGCGTGTGAAGGGGGTGGGGAGAGAGGAGAGAGCAGGGGGAGGGTGTGTGTGTATATGTGAGTGGGTAGTCACTTTGCATGACTTCGGATGAGTGGGGATTGACAGTTGCTTGGTCTCCCCATCTGTCTCCTCCTGTTCGTGTCACCATGCCTGCCTGTCCATGTACCCGGGTATGGGCCACTTCTGAGGCGTTGGGTCACTGTTTGTATCTGTCCATCTGTGTCACTGGGCAGCTCTTCACAGCCCTGAACATCTGCCAGTCTTTGTCACAGTATGTCCACTTCTCTGCTCAGGTCTGGGTATGTGTCTATGTCTGGGTATTTCTGTCCAGGTAAGGGGTCACGTGCATATGCGCGAACGTGAGTGTGGCACAGGAGGTTTACAGCCAAGGGTCACAGGCAGTGGACAGAGCATGGGAAGCCAGCAGATTGGCAGGGTCTCATGGCAGCCCAGTGACTGGTTGGTCTGTGGGGAACCAGACACGGCTCCTCTGCCTTCCCGTGTCCAGGTTGCAGGGACCAGCTTGGGCTTTACTCCCAGAGCTGGGAGATGGTACCATTTCCCTGCAGCTGTGCCCTTTGTCCCAGGTGGGAGTGTGGGAATGAGACTGCTCCTGGGGTTTGTCCTGGACCCCATCACCTCACTCCGCACTCCTCTCCAGTAACAGGATGGAGAGGGTTCAGGTTCTGGTGGCAGAGGCAGGCTTGAGACCTGCAGCCAGCCACCTGCCTTCTCCCTGCTAGCCTGGATCAGCAAGACTCCATTCCAGCTCAGAAAGCTCTTTGGGGGATTACAGGGAACTCACCCCCATAGCCGCACACCTCCTAGCCAACCGGAGCCAGAGGTGCCCTCAGGGCTGGGGGCACTTCTCCCCATGATGCCCCCCCCCAGGATCCTTCTTCAGAACAGGTGGCCCAGTGAGTGTCCTCTGGGCCAGAGTGGAGCATTTCTAGCCTCTGGTGCAGCCTGAGGAGGCAAGGAGAAGGCAGCATCTGGTGGGCTCCTCAGACCCTCCTGCAGAGAAGGGTAGAGGAGGCCCACATCTGGAGGCCAGCTGATCTGGAGCCCTAGGCTCTCCGAAGGTAGACAGGGCCTCCGGAGCCCCAGTTCTCCCAGTCGCTGGTCCTGACTCATCTATCTATTCACTGAGTCACACAGATGGAGGACCCTAATCTCCCAACCCCCTTTCAGATCATGGGCCCAGCATGGCAGCCTGATATCTGTGCCAGAGCCTGGGCAGTCCCTGTGGTATGGATTCAGCCCCATCCTACCCAAGCTAAGGTCTCCACATACAACCTGGGCCACCCCTGCCACTTGGAGCCCTCCATTACTCGGTTTAGAGCAACTTGGCTTTACTTTTCCTGGCTGTGTGTCCATGGACGACTGGTATCTGACAGCCGTGGCTGACAGGACCAGGGCCCATATCCTGGACCATCTCTTCCTTTTCTGTGAGATCCCTTCCTGTCTCCCAGCCCTGTAATGGGATGTAATGCCAAGCCCACCTGCCTCCTGGGATTGTCCAAATTCAGTGCATGTCCAGTGCTCCTTGTGGCCACTGGCATAGAACAGGCTTTCGGTACCTCTGTATTGAATAAATGCATGAAGGACTGGGGGTGGCCCAGGGCTGGGGGCCTGGGACTCCTCAGAGGCTCTGCCAGGCCCTGTAGGATGTCCCGTCCTGACGCCAGCACCCCTTCCTGCCCTCGACTCCCAGGAAACATGTTCCCTACCATTGGTGATGTCCACCTCGCACCCTTCACGGATGAACAGCTCTACATGGAACAGTTTACCAAGGCCAACTTCTGGTGAGTTCGCATGTCCTGGATGTCCTGCTCTGGGCTTCACTGGGATGGTCTCCCAACCCCGCAAGGGTAGCCTGGCCTGCCTTCTTTTTTTCCTTATCCTGAATAGTTTCTCAGACTTGGCTTGGAGTAGGACCAGTTGGGAGGAAAGGGCAGGGCTACCCCATCTGGGTCTTCTGCTGATGACTCATTGGGGCCTGGGGGGATTTCTGCAGGTACCAGCCATCCTTCCATGGAGTGGACCTGTCAGCCCTCCGAGGTGCCGCTGTGGACGAGTATTTCCGGCAGCCTGTGGTGGTTAGTGGGGACACCCAGGGCACTGTCACAATTAATATTGGGCATGGCCCTCCTCCGGGATGATGGGAGCGGGGCATGGACTTCATTGTCAGGCCTCATCCAGGCTGTGTTGCCTTAGGGAAGTGACTGCCCCTCTCAGAGCCCTTGTGTCTGCCCCTGCACAGAGCTTGGCCAGACTTGTTTGAGAGTAAAGAGGCAACGTGTGTAGAGCACTTAGTGCACATTGAGCACACAGTACCTGTGAATTGTTACTAGATAAATTGATTCTTGATGAACTGATTCTATTGGTTTAATTACTGACCTCTTTGAACTGTTACTTATATCTGTCATTCAAAATTGAGAAAGTGAAAAGCCTCCCCAGCTCAGTCCCTCATCTTAGTTCTTTTCCCTGTCAGCAAACAGTATTTCTGTACTCTGTTTCCAGAGATTATTTTATACCTAAACATACATGTACATACTTTTTTTTTTTTTTTTGGCCTTTTTTTTTTACCCACAAAGTACAGCATCACCAATACTGTTAATTTCTCTGTGGTCAGAGTACGTACACTGCATGATTCAAGTCCTTAGAAATTGGTTTGCTTTATAGCTCTATATGTGGTCCTTTCGGTTAATGTTCCATGTACACTTGGAAAAAATGTATACTAATTAGTTGATCGGGCAGTGTTTCGTTCTGCTGTGCATGGGGTCGCTATGAGTCGGAAACGACTCGACGGCACTTAACAACAACAACAACAACAATTAGTTGAGTACCGTGTTGTATTAATGTCAGGTTACATTAATCATGTCTGTCAAATCGTCTCCATCTGTACAGAATTTTTTGCTCTGCTTTTCCTATCTATTGCTAATTGTGGGTTTGTCTGTTCATTTAGTTTTGTTAATTTTTGCTTTATATCGTTACACATTTTGATGCTATATTATTAGATGCATATAGATTTAGGGTTATTATATGTTCGTTTTGGAGTCTTATAGTGTTTTTTTTTTTTTTAAATTAATCTTTTACCATACCCATGGCTGTTGAGTTGATGTTGACTCATAGTGACCGTACAGACGGAGTAGAACTCCATTATGGGAGCAGACTGTCACAGCTTTCTCCTGTAATCTTTTACAGCATATCTTTTTCCATTCTTCTATTGTCAACTTTTTTGTATCCTCATACTCTTATAAGTAGCATGTAATTGGGTTTGGTTTTATAATGAGACTAAAATTTTTTACCTTCTAATTAAAATATTTAGATCATTTACATTTAATATAATTACTGTTTTATACGTGTGTGTGTGTGTAAATCTACCATCTTACCATTTTTCTGTTTATTCGGACTGTTCTTTGTTTCATTTTGACTCTTTCCTTGCCACCTTTTGGTTTAATAAGGTATATTTGTTATTCTTTTTCCTCTTTCTTGATGTCTTTTGCTAATTTTGGGAGATTCTTGGCCAGTATCTCTTTAAACATTGCCTCTACCTTTTTCTTTTTCTGCTCCTTGGACTCCACTTAGATGACATTAGATCCTTTCACCATGCTTCAGATGATGCCTATGCTCTTCTGTATTTTCTTTTCTTTTTTCATATCTTCATACCTTCCAGTTCATGAATCTTTTTGCTGTTGAATCTGTTGTTATACCCATCTTTTGAATTCTTAGTTTTAGTTATAAGTTTAGTTATAAGTTTTCAGTTCTAGAATTTCATTTTATTTTTTTGTAAGTGTCATATTACTTTAGTATGTGGATGACTGGCAGGTGGTGTTTCTTCTCTTGGGTTTTAGTTCCGGTCATTTGGTCCTATCTCTTGGGGTACAGAATGAAATCACACAGAGGCTCTGGATGATGTTTTCCATTCCAAAAGATACTTATTTTTCTTCTGGTAGGAAATTAGCTGTATGGACTGATCACCTTGGTTCTAAAAGGCGTTTGAGCTGTTTTGAGGCTGGTCTATTTCCTGACTTCTCTGAAGGGCAGTGGTTCTCAGATGTTTTGGTCTCAGGGACCCCTTCACATTCTTAACATTGAGGATCCCAAAGAGCTTTTGTTTATGTGTGTTACAGCTATTGATACACTGTCAGTAGCTGTTGGTATTAAAACTAAACCCAGTAAATTTCAAAGCACATAGGTATTAATTCATTTGGAAATAACCCATTCTCTATTATATACATTATATAAATAGCATTTTTTATGAAAAATAACTACCTTCCCAAAAAAAGTTTTCAGCAAGAATAGTGGCATTTGTTTTACTCGTTGCAAGGCTTTTTAAATAATGTCTGGCTGAGTAGCAGCAGCTGAATTATCATAACTGATGCTGCTCAGTCTGTTGTGATGTCACAGGTGAGAGAATGAATGAAAAGAGCAAGCAAGGGCTTAGTATTATGAAATGAATTTTACCTTGGGGACCCTGGAAAGGACCACACTTTGAGATCCACTGCTTTAGGGTGGAGTCTAAGTGGTCTCTGTGCACTGGGGTGGCTTACAGAGCACCTCTCAGCACCAATATACTGCTGAACCTCTCTTTAGGGGTTTTTTTTTTTTTTTTTTTTTTTTTATTTTGATTTGGGTGAAGATTTGCAGAGTAAATTCACTTTTCATACAGCAGTTCACATATACTTTGGAGGGAAATGGCATGCAGAAAGTCCAGCTCACTTCTCTGCATTTCCCTTTTCTTTAGCATCTTGGCCCCTTGAGTCCTAGCTGCCTTAGGAACCCCACAATTCCTGTTTTTCTTCCCTGCCCAGAGAGGCTGCTGAAGGGAGTAGGTAGCCGTTTTCTGCCCATCCTGTATGTCCTGTGTGCAAATTGGCAAACACCCCAAGGAAGAAAAGTGGAGGCAAGAAAGGACTCCCCTCAGTGCCTTCTCTCTGGGATGCTGACCCCCAGTCCTGGCTGCTGTGGTTGCTCTCCAGTGCTTTCAAACAGTTTTATTTTTCCTTTGCATTTTACTCAGCTTGTATAGTACTGGCAAGAGTCTTAGTGTCAGAGAAGATCTTATAGCCAGGAGTGGGTATTAACATACAGTTCTGTAACTTGCTTTTTTCACTTAACAGTTTATCTTGGAGGTCTTTCCACATCTGCTTAAAAAGAGCCTCTTCATTCCCTTTCATGTTCACATAGCCTTTTATGGATGAGCTGTCATTGGTTTAATTAGATGGTTTTCATTGTGTTGATACTACAAACAATCTAATCATACATATTTAAAAAAACCAAACCTACTACCATTGAGTCGATTCTGACTCATAGCGATCCATAGGGTTTCAAGGCTATAATCTTTACAGAAGTAGACTGCCTCATCTTCCTCCTACAGAGCAGCTGGTTGGTTTGAACCACTGACCTTCTGGTCAACAGCCAACTGCCTTAACCACTGCACCATCAGTGCTCCTTTAATTGTATGTATAAGTTTGTCATATATCTGGAATATTTGTCACATTGAGAGCTCAGTTGTGCCAATTCATGTTCCCCTCAGCCATGTCTTAAAAAGCATTCATTCTGTCTGGTCTTAGCCTAATGACCCTAGAGCCATGGCTAAAACATGGCATAAAATCTTCATTCTGAAATGGGTAAGGCTCTTCCCTCCCTTTGGCCCTTTGCCTCGATGGTACGTCACACCTGTGGTCTCTTCCAGGACACATTTGACATCCGAATCCTGATGGCCAAGTCTGTCAAGTACACGGTGAACTTCTTAGAAGCCAAAGAAGGAGATTTGCATAGGTATTGGCATCCACGCCCCACCCTCCCAGGCCTAGCTCATGCCCTCAGTCAGCTGGTGTTCTCTGTGCCAGGGCAGGCGGGTGGGGCACCGGGATGCTGCACCTCGCCACCACTTCTTCTCTCCCAGCAGACCATTGGGCTTTCCAGCAACCATTGCCCTTTGCCTTCCAGGATAGAAATCCCATTCAAATTCCACATGCTGCATTCAGGGCTGGTTCACGGTCTGGCTTTCTGGTTTGACGTTGCTTTCATCGGCTCCATGTGAGTGCAACTGAGCAGACCATGCTTTCCCCTGTCTCCTCTTTCCCTGCAGTGTGACCCCAGGCCTGGGGGGTTGATGTTGAGCTGTGGTCTGGGAGGTAGGCTCCAGGTTCCACTGTCCTTTCCAAAGGGCAGCAAGAGCTGCTCTGTGAGCAAAAGCTGTGATGAGAGGGACGTGTCTGCCCTGTACTGACTGTCCCTCATGGGATCTTACCTGGGTGTGTCCCTCAGCATGTATCAGGGTGAGTAGGTGTCCTGTGGTGGAGGATGTGTGTATGGGACTGCGTGTTATGTGCATGTGCACACAAGGGCAGGCACCAGGGAGAGCTCAAGGTATGCAGAGTGGTGGCTCCAGCCCAGTCAAGCACATGCCTGTTCCTGCTTGGCAGAATGACCGTGTGGCTGTCCACGGCACCAACGGAGCCTCTGACTCACTGGTACCAGGTACGGTGCCTGTTCCAGTCACCACTGTTCGCCAAGGCCGGGGACACGCTCTCAGGGACATGTCTACTTATTGCCAACAAAAGGTGCGACCACTTAGGGGTTAGGGGAGGTAGAGTTTACCCACTCTACCCAGTAGGGTAGGCCATAGGGCTGAGCCCAGGGTTCAGAGCTGCCCTCCTCTTTCCTTTCCACAGACAAAGCTACGACATCAGTATTGTGGCCCAGGTAGACCAGACGGGCTCCAAATCCAGTAACCTCCTGGATCTGAAAAACCCCTTCTTCAGGTAGGACGAGCCCTCAGCCTGCGTGGGGTCCCCTCCTGGCCCTGCAGCCCCCACGGCCCTGCCCATGGGTCCGTCTCTGGCACAGATACACGGGCACGACACCCTCGCCCCCACCTGGCTCCCACTACACGTCTCCCTCAGAGAACATGTGGAATACGGGCAGTACCTACAACCTCAGCAGTGGGATGGCTGTGGCTGGTGAGTCATAACCCCATCCCCACAGCACAGGGCCCACACCTTGGGGGACATGGTCACATGTGCCAGTGCTTCTTAGAAAGAGGTGGCCACCATTGGTGGCAGGCCTGGCCCCTCCTCCCTCCTGGGCCTGCCCCTTGCACCTCTGTACACTGTCCCTGCCCCTGACATCTTCTTTTTGGGTATAGGGATGCCGACTGCCTATGACCTGAGCAGTGTTATTGCTGGTGGCTCCAGTGTGGGCCACAACAACCTGATTCCTTTAGGTGAGTGTTACCCAGGGCCTGGGGAGCAGTAGGGATGCAGAACCCTGATCTGGCTTGGGCCAGGTAAAGGGCTGATGGCCCCGCACACCTTGGCTTTTGCTTGGTCCTTCTGCACCGTCGTCATCTCTTCCTCTTCCTCGGAGCCCTTGGCCGAGGCCCTCTGTTCCTCTCTGCCTCGCTGTGCCGCCTCTGTGCCTGCCCTCCCCACACCCTGGCGTGAAAGCGCGAGTGAGCGCCCATCCTGCAGCACGTGTGGACTGCTGTCACAGGCCAGGGCAGGCTGGGGGTGGTGACGCCGTCTCCCTTTCCTCCTTCCTCCCTCTTGCTGCACAGCCAACACGGGGATTGTCAATCACACCCACTCCCGGATGGGCTCCATAATGAGCACGGGGATTGTCCAAGGTAATAGCGGGGGTGGAGTGGGCTCCCGTGGGTGGGGGTGGGCAGCTAGTGTGTGAGTGTGCTGTCCTCTGGGCCACTTGCCTGCCCTCTCGCCTGCTCGCTCTCCTCTGACTGCTGTGGGTCCAGGTGGGCGAGAGGGCAGAACTGGCCCCACAGTGCTGATGCTCCACCCCGCAGGGTCCTCTGGCGCCCAGGGCAGCAGTGGCAGTGGCTCAAGTGCCCACTACGCAGTCAACAGCCAGTTCACCATGGGCGGCCCTGCCATCTCCATGGCCTCGCCCATGTCCATCCCCACCAACACCATGCACTACGGGAGCTAGGCACCTCCAGGCACCACCGAACAGACTGACAGCACCAGGAAACCAAATGAAGAACCGCCCGCCACCCCCCTGCGCCAGGGGCGGCTCTTACCCTGTACTGGAGAAGCAGAAACACCCAGTCACAGCCCTCTTTGCTATGGGAACTTGGACACTTTTTTACACAATGTTGCAGCCGCCCCACCCTACCCAGCCCCCACATCTTGGCCTGAGCGTGTGTCGCTGCCATATTTTACACAAGATCATGTTGTGGGAGCCCTCCCCCGTCCCGTCCTCTCCACCCTGACCCAGGTTTGACATCTTCTATAACAGGCGTGTCTGGGCCTGACAGCTGCAGACCAGGAAGGGAGGCAGCCGCCCTGCAGCCCAGGCTGCCCAGCCCTGCCCTGGCTGTCCCTCAGCGCTACCCCCTTGCCTGTCTCTAGTGGGAGACAGCTCTGGCTGGGCAGGGCCGCCCTTTCAACTACCAGGCCTTGGTCACAATGGGTGTGACATGCTGCTTTTTTTTAATTTTATTTTTTTACGAAAAGAACCAGTGTCAATCCACAGACCCTCTGAGAAACCAGGCCGGCCGGGCCGAGCCAGCAGCCCCTTTCCCCAGACTCAGAGGCCCAGAGGTGAGGGGCGGCCCAGCCGAGTCTTCAGGGGCGGGGGTGGGCCAGACCTCTGGGGCACCTGCAGCCCCCCCACCAAAGGGTTCACCTCACACTTGAATGTACAACCCAGCCCGGCTGTCGGGAAGACCCTCCGTCCTTGGCCCCTGCCTCTTGCTGCTGTCCTGCCCCTGAGCCCCTGCAGGTCCCCTCTCTATCCTCCAACAAGAGCTAGAATGGGCGGCTCCCAGACCCCAGCCTGCAGGCCACTGGGGCAGATACAGAAACCTCAAGGATCTTCTGTGGAAGGCACCCCTTTTCTGTGGCTGACATTAGGCCTGTGTATCTTCCCTCAGTTACTTGTAGATGCTCCAGTCCCTACTTATATTATGGCTTTCTGGTCCCTCTCCAGAAGGGGAAAGGGCCTTACCAGGGACTTGTCCCTCCAAAAAAAAAAAAAAAGCGAAATAAACAAGGAAATGTATGTTTCAGCACAGGCAGTTTTCTTCTACTTTGCTCCCCCTTTTTCTAACACCCCAAACTCAGATATGGGGGAGCTCAGGATAGGCCCAAAACCCCATTCATTGTGCACCTAGGGAAGGGAGGGCAGGATCGGGGCCAGGGCCTGCCCCCTCCCGTCCTCTGCCGGGTGTCAGGGAAGAAGGCCCAGCAGACAGGCTGGGGGTGGGCAGGCCCTGGTCCCACTCTCACGCAGTGTCGCTCCCATGCAGTGTCGCCTGAGCTGCACTGGAAGCTCCTTGCTCGGCTGTCCCCCTCCCCTTTGCCATTTATATAAACTCTGAATCACCTTTGCATAGAAAATAAAAGTGTTTGCTTTGTAAGAAAAGTCTGCAAAGTAGCGGAGTGATCTTGAGTTATCAAAGGAGCCTTCAGTCATCATCTGGGAGCGGGACTCGCAGAGATGTCCCCTTAGGTTTTGCCTAGGAGAGAAAATGTTAGCTTTAGCCCTATGAGTTGCAGTCTAGGGATCCCCCTTGGCTGGACAGCTCCCCACAGCCACAGCTGGAAACTACTTCTTACCTGCAGGACCACAGCCTTCCTAGGAGGTTGTGATGGCCCGTGGCAGGGTGGATGGCAGCAGTGTTGCAGGGGGCAGAGATGTAGCTTGGGGTAGAGATGCCATGTGTTCTAGAGGTAGCGGCTGGAAGAAGTATAACTGGACCGAGCCCCCAGGATCAGTGTCAGGGCCAGAAGCCAGCCCACCCTGCCCCCAGCTCAGCCTGCGGCCACCACCCCTGTACCTTGCACCCCAGGGCCAGGAGAGAGTGCAGCAGCACTACAGTGGAGAGCAGCATGGCAGCTGCAGGCCTGGTGTCCTCACGGATGACGGGCCAGAGGGCGAGCACCAGGCCAGCAGCTGACAGGGCCAGGGCCAGCACCCCAAAGAGCCACTGCAGCCATGGGACAGGGATGAGCCACAGGACCTGGGGACGACATGAGTGGATAACTATCATGGGGTCCAGCTGTCTGCACAGCATCTAAGCCCACCCTGTCTGGGCCATGCTCACCACAGTGGGAATGAAGACAAAGAGGGAGTAGCCATAGATGCACACAGTCTCCAGGAAGGTATACGGCCCCATGCGCTCCCGGATGCCCTTGCGCCACTGCAGGAAGCCCCATAGTGCCAGTGGCACCAGCCACGCATAGCAGTAGATGGTGATGCTTGCCACGGTCACTGTGGACAAGAGGAGTCCTCAGGATATCACCCCCAGGGCCCTGCCAACACCTCCAGCCCCACTGACCTGCTGTGCCTTGCCCACCTGGCTTACCCTTGTGGAATTGGGGACTATAGTGGATGGAGGGGTCCCTCCTCTGCGCCAGCACCAGTGTCAAATTGCCGGTGATTGCTAGGACGAAGGCCAGTGTGGCACAGATCCAGAAGGGGCCTGTGGGTGGGGCAGAGTCAGGGTCCAGGCCCAGAGCTCCTGGGGCAGACAGATTCTTCCCACCTCAAGTGTGCCGAGATTCAAGCTCGGGGCTGCCTCCACCCCCCAGCTCCACTGACCAGATTCTTGTCCAGGTCACCAGTGACAACCTTGTGGTTTAATCCAGTGCATGCTATCCAGGCCTCATCTTTTCTTGGGGTCTCACCCACCTCTAGTGTAGCTGATCCCTCTTCCTTCTGAAAACACTCCATATGGCTTCCAGGACCCCACCTCTGTGGCTTCTCTCTCACCTCAGTAGCACAACTTCTCCGCTGCCGCTCCTCAATCCCCTGACCTCTGTGATGGCCAACAAGCCTGGGGCTCAGTTCTTGACCCTCTTCTCTGTATCCACCCTGAGTAACCTCATCTAACTCATGGCTTCAAATGCTACCTCCGTATTGGTGACTTCCGAATGTCTTGAGCCTAGGCCTCTATCCTCATGTGCAGGCTCTTAAATCCACATTTCCACATAGGGGTCTCCCAGGCATCTCACTCTGCTCCACATGCTTGCTCTCCCTGTCAAGTCTGCCCAGTTTTCCCCATCAGCAGGTGGCAACTCCATCCCAGTAGTCTTCCTAGACTCTTCTCGCACCTCACACAGTCTGTCAGCAAACCCTGTCCTTGAAGTTGCACCTTCAAGACTTATTTCAGAGTCCAATCACTCCTCCCTACCTCCACAGACTCCACCCTGGGCCAGGCCCCACCATCTCCTACCTGGACCATGGAACTCTGCTCCTCCCTGGTCTCCTGGCCTCTGCCCTTGTGCCCACAGCAACCAGGGGCAGCATATGAGCATTTCACTTCTATCCTCTTCATTCTCACCACAGTGCAGAAGTCACCTCCGTGACCTCCTACCAGCTCACTCTGCTCCAATGACACGGCTGCCTGGCAGTTCCTGCACATCCTGCCCCACACCCTCCCCTGCCTCTCCATCACCCTCCTTTGGTCCTGGCTGTTCCCTCTTTCTGGAATGCTCTCCCCCTTCCTCCCTCACTCCCCAGAGGCCTTCCCTGACCAACCCATGCAAAACAGCATTGTTGTCCACCCTCTAGGCTGCTTTGCTTCTCTTCCTGGCATCCCTGCCTTCTGTAATCCTCTGTACCCCTAAACAGAAGTTTCATGCTGTCTATGAACAACTTTGTTCTCAGCTATTCCCAGGGGCTGGCACTCAGTCCACACCTGTTGGATGAATAATCACACAAACTGAATGCACACGCTTACTCACCATATAGGTCTGGCCGGTTCCGTAGCCGGTGCCGAACAAAGCTGTGGCTAGGCCAGGGCAGCAGTGAGCCTTTGATCCGGTCCAGCACCTGGAGAGGCAAAGGCCAGGGCCTGGGATGGAAGCCTACCTGTGGCTCTTCATCATCACAAGCTCCTCCCTGGGCCTTTCAAGTTCTTCCCCTGCTGATTTCCAAGGTCTCCTCTCCTTCCATACTCTCCCTTAGAGTTTGCCCTTCTGGACTTTGCATGAGCTATCTCCAGCGCCTGGAGCCCTTCAGCCAGCTCCCACTCAAAGCCTCACTTCCAAGCAGTGTCCCACTTTGGGGCCTGCCATCTTCCTATTGCTTCCTCCTCCTCAACTTGCTGTCCTGAACAGCTCTTGCTGCCTCACCCCACCTCTCAATCACAATGGGCATTCTTCCTGTAACTCCAATAGGATGCATTCTGGTTAATCTTCATCTCCTACCCTACCAGCATGTTTGCTAATCCACAACTCCCCGTCACCTTCAGGATAAAACCCAAACTCCTTAACTTAGCTCATGAGATCCTTTGTGATCTGGCTTCTTCCTGCCTGCTTCTCCTACCTCATCCTGCAGCACTCCCCCACCTCACACTTGCCAACCAGGTTCAGTGACATGCAGCTTCTCTCTGCATATACGGTCCCCTGGGCCTGGAACACACCTATGCTTCCCTCCACTCTGCCCGGGTTATTCTGCCTTCTCCTTAGGTCTTGGCAAATTTCTCAGAATTTGCTAAGGAGGCCTGTCCTTGACCCATTAGATCAAGTACATCCCCTGTGTTTTCACAACCCAAACCAAACCCATTGTTGATTCTGACTCATAGCAACCCTCCAAGAGTATAACAGGTTTCTAAGACTGTAAATTACGGAAGCAGACTGCCACATTTTTCTTCCTTACTGGTAGTTGGTCAAACTGCCACCAGGGTTAGCAACCACCAGTGTTCCTTCCCACAGGCCCATTCTCACCATAAACTTTATACAGCTGTGGTTATTTCTACTAACTTGGGTAGGACCCACATAGGTAAGGCCAACTCCCTGCCTGGGGCCTGCTGCATGAGAAGCACTCAGTGAATAGTGGCTGAGCCCTAAGCATGACTCCGAGTCCCTTCCCAACAGCTTCCAGGGCCTGACCTGAGAGGTGTCCACGTCAAAGAAGCTCTGATAGTAGGCAAAGGTCCAGAATCCTGGCTGCTGCTTCTCCCCCTGCAGAAGCTGCAAAGTAAGACTTTCAGTGCCTGCCTCTCAAGCCGGGGCCAGTTAAGGGCCAGATGGAGACAGGGTACAGGCAATATGGTGACTCACCATGGCCTTGTCACTTTCCTCTGTCTCCTCCTCAGCTCCATAGCTTTCATCTGAGCCCATGGCCACAGCCACATGTCCCTGTGGAGTCAACTGGTCACTTCTCGTGGTGGCAGCATCTGGGGTCTTGGCTAGGAGATCAGTGGCTTCTTCGAACTCTGTGGAGAAGGAATATGAGACAGCCATGTTTTGAAAGATGACATTCAGCTTGGCCCCATGCTCAGCTGGGAGCAGAGTTCTGGCCATGGCTGGCTCCCTGCTCTCTGCCAACATCAGGGCAGCCGGACTTCCTGTTTAGGAGATGGGGAGGAGGTCTCTTAACTTAGTAAGATGGGACTGCAATTTAGGGTCTGGGGCATTTTTGTTCTAGGTTGAAGTCATAGTCTGGGGTACAAACGCTGGTTTGAGATCTGAGTGCATGGCTTGAGCGGGATGAGTCAGAGATGGATTTCACCTCATGTTCAGGACTCAGGTCTTAGGCCAGGGTTCACAGCTGACTGAAGTTCGCGTTAGATTTGAGTTGGAATCTGGGTAGGTGGTTCGGGACGGGTAGGGGCTGCACTCACCCTGGAAGGTCAGCTCATCTGCTGCTGCCATGGCCGTCCAGGGGCGTCACTGCATCCCTCTCTGAGAAGAGATCTATCAGGCCCGTCCCGTCCGACCTACTCTTGGAGCCTATCCGTCAGCACGGCCTGGCGCTTAACGGCACCCACTGGGACTTGAAGTCGCCGTCCCGGTTTAACAGGTGTACCCCGCCACACCTCACCTGAGGCTACTTTGGCCGGCGTGGCCTGGGCTTTCTGCGCCTGCGCGGCCCGCCTACCCGCGGGGCCCCAAGAATCGGAGGCCGACCCCACTGGTGCTGGACAGTGACATCCGGCGCCGGTCCGTTTTTTTACCTCTTCCGATGGGAAACCATTTCCGGCGGTGTTGGCGGTTGCACAGAAGAGACTCCCGGGCCTTTTAATTCGTGTATCGGGCGTTTCTCTTCGGAGATAGAACGCCAAGCCGGAAGAGAATGGCGGCGGCCGCTCTGAAGAGATTTTGGTCTCGAGGCCGCGGAGCTGCGGGCGACCCGACGATCGCGAAGCCGGGCGTGTGGGCACGTTTGGGTAAGCAGCAGCGGAAGGTGACGGGGTGGGTGGTCACAATGGCTGAGCTGCTCTTACTGCGTTTATCTCTCCACAGGCTCCTGGTCCCGCTCGCTGCTCCGGGACTATGCCGAAGCCTGCGGGGACGCGGCGGCGGCAGCCCGGGCCCGGCCGGTCCGGGCGGCTGTTTACGTGGGGCTGTTGGGCGGAACGGTGGCTTGCTGCGCGCTAGCGCCGAGCGAAGCAGCCTTCGAGGAGGCGCTGCTCGACGCATCTGGAACCCTTTTGCTGCTGGCGCCGGCCACGCGCAACCGCTCCTCTGAAGCTTACGTGCAGCGAATGCTCTGGCTTCGGGGCCGAGGTCGCCTGCGCCACCTGAATCTGGGGCTTTGCTCGATTGTGTACGAGGCGCCCTTCGACGCACAGGCCAGCCTCTACCAGGCTCGCTGCCGCTACCTGCAGCCCCGCTGGACCGACTTCCCGGGCCGGATCTTGGATGTGGGCTTCGTCGGCCGCTGGTGGGTCCTGGGAGCCCAGATACGCGACTGCGACATCAACGACGACGAGTTCCTCCACCTGCCTTCACATTTACGCGTCGTCGGGTCCCACCAGCTGCGCTCCGAGGCCAACGAGCGGCTCTTCGACGAGAAGTACAAACCTGTCGTGCTCACCGACGATCAGGTGGACCAGGCGCTGTGGGAGGAGCAGGTCTTGCAGAAGGAAAAGAAAGACAGGCTCGCCTTGAGTCAGGCCGACTCGCTGGTGCTATCAGAGGCCCCGAGGTGAAACCCAGTGGAGGATGAGGGTCCTAAACGGGCTCCGCGTCCTGGCAGACTGACTGCCTGAGTGTGTGCAATTGGTGTGAGTGGGCTCAAATGCAGAGTGACTGAAAAAAACTGTATATAGATTTTTCTTTCTTTGAATATTTACAGGTTTGGGGAGCCTTTCTCCCTCTCACGTTGATCATTGTTCAAAACAAAACAAAACCTGTTGTCCTGTACTTATAGTGACACTATAGAGTAGAACTGCCCCATAGGGTTCACAATGCCTCACAGAAGCAATTTGCCACATCTTTTCTCTGGGGTATAGTTGATAGGTTTAAACTACCAATCTTTTGCTTAGCAGCTGAACGTGCCACTAGGGCTCCTTTTTTCTTGTCAGGTGATGTTATTTCAGAGCGGGCTTGCTCTAGGAGTTGGGGAAAACAGAGTGTCTTGACCGTGTAATGTTTATTATTGCCAGAGCTAGTAATGAGGGTTTTACATAATTTTTTACATTAGCTCTCACAGTCCCCCTGCGAGTTACCACATTTGTTCTCAGGTGATACCCAGGCTCTCCTAAGACCGTCTAGATGTCTGTTTTTTAATTTTGAGCAGAAATTTTTTTCACTCTATGATCTATTCTGTTTATCATTTTCACAAGTAACCTTTTTTGTTGTAATTTTTTTATTTTGAGATAGGCTCCTTGGAAGTTGGAAAAATAATATGGAGACAGCCAGTGTACCCTTCACCCAGCTTCCTCCATTAGTACACGTTACATAACTAATACACTGTCAGTCGGGAAATGATGTTGGTACAACCCTTTGGATTTCACAGGGAAATTTTTTACTTTAAGGTAGTTGTGAAGGATAAAGTATTTCCTGATAAAGGAATCTGTATGGAATCAGATCGGGACTGTGTTATATACTTAGCAACCCTGAAAACACAGTCCCATAGTGGGAAAGAAAGAAGCAAGCAGGTGTACATAGCTGGTACTTAGCTAGGTTACGATGATCATACTTTCAATACTAAAACATGAGGGAAATGACACTTTACCTCTATCACCAAGGTGGGCTGTGGCTAGTTAAAAAAAACTAGGAGAGGAAACCTCCATCTTTGCTGTAATGTGTTTGTGTTTTGCCACTTTTAAGTTTTGACGCTTGGACCGTCCATTCATAATATATGTACATTAGGCACATAGTAGTTTTTATACTGTTATTTTTGGAGTAGGGGGAGCACTTTATAATTCATCATCTTCATTTCACAGAGAAAAAGATGAGGTTCATGAAGTTTATTACTTTTCCCAGGCCATAGCGGAGCCATGATTCAAACTCTGTTAACTCCCAACACTGACTTAATCTCAAAACTTCAGTCATTATTTTCACTGCTCTCTTGCCATAACTAAAACATGAATACAGAAGTAAATAAACGAATACAAAAAGTAAATACCATGACAACAAACACGAAACAACTGATAATAGATTCTAATTCTGTACTGTTAACTGCCAAAGGCTCTGGACCTAAATTTGACAGTCTTTGTTAGAGTGAATGATTAGCCAACTTCAGGAATGTTAAACCACACTGCCGTCGAAGTGAGACTTCTCACCACAATCAGAAGTATTAGAATTACACACTTTTATTGCTTGAGTCATTAAATGCTACTTCTGATTTCTACCAGGGTGTGTTCCATATGCAGCTCCTGTAGCTGCAGGGAGCTGTGAACCTCATCAGTGGTTTACCACAACCAAACAACTCAAGTGTTTGTGCAGAAATTGCCTGCAAGGAGGCATTGCCCAAAAGTCTGCGTGGCTTGTCTCTTTAAGAGTTGACCTTTCCCAGAGCTGAGTGCATTCTGTATTTTGGCCCCTGCTGCATTGCTCCAGCTTTCTGGTTCTGGTATAAGAAGTGACCTGTCAGATCAACCAGGAGAGTGGGTGGGCCTGGTGCTCTATGTTGTGGGGCTTGGATGGCCTCGGCTCCCTGAGGACACGCTGAGGTGTCCATGTTTGCTGCTGAGCTCCTGGCTTCCCACAGTGCTCAGGTCACCTTAGGCCTCAGTCAATGTTTAAAGAATTGACATAAGATCCTGTATATGCATGTTGTGGGTGGGAGCAGGTGTTGTCCTGATGGAGGAGAAACAGAGCAAGAATGCATCCTCATCCTTTGGCCAAGCCAGGGGAGGTGGTCCTCCAGTCTCAGCTTTGTTCAGTGCCAGAAACAGCAAAGGGGAGATGGCCAATGTTCCCATAAAGACAGTAGGGTCTCAAGGAGAAGTGGGCTTTGCACTTACCAGCTGACTTCTCTGCACCTGTTTCTTTATGGAATAATTCTTTTTAAGGTGGTAACAAAGCGTTAGTAACCACACCAAAGCACCTGGTATATAGTGGGCATTCACAGCCCATAGCTTGCCCATGTGAGGTGATGACTAAATCCATCCTCTGCCCTTCTGAGTTAATCTTGGACCAGGGACAGTGCTCCTCAGCCTTACTACTGGCACGTGGGAAGTGCTCAGTAAATGGAGGAGTATAGCCAAGGCGTGCTCGTTTCAGGGTCAAGACACTGGAGTTTAATAGGATCATATTCAAGGTCTCCCTTTTTGGTTTCAATGCTGAATCTTTCCTGCTCATTTTATTGGAGAGACCACCAGAGGGCACCAGAGATTCAGAGAAGTTGGCGCCATCCTCCTCGCTTCAGGCCAGGTGGATGCCTAGCCTGTTTTCTTCTGTTCTGTGAAACGGGTGTAGTACAGTTACCACATTTGTCATTTTGCTGCTAGAACCAGGTAGATGATGGCAGGAGGAGCCCTGGTGGGCGCGGTGGTTAAAGTGCTGGGCTAGCTAACCAAAAGCCTGGCAGTTTGAACCCGTCATCATTTCTGCTCGAGAAAGATGAGGCATTCTGTTCCTGTAAAGATTACAGCCTTGGAGACCCAATGGGGCAGTTCTGCTCTGGTCTGTAGGGTTGCTATGAGTCAGAATTGACTGGATGGCAGTGGGTACATGATAGCAGAAGTCAGGGCCATGGGAAGGAGCCACATCTGCCCCAGAAACATGCTCCTTTACTTTGTTAGCAGCAGTGAAGAGGCTGAGTGGTTCTTAGGTTGGCCGCACTCTCCTTTTGAGGAAAACTCGCCTATCCTTCTAGAAGTTCCTGGAGGGACAGGATCATCTGGTTGGCCCTGGGATCATGGCCATTTCCCTCATTTCCTGGGAGTTGTGTTGAAGCACCTAGGCCCACGGCCAGGGCAGGGAAGCAGCTGCTCTGGGCGCAGGATATAAGGAGGCAGGCGCATCTTCTCAGTGTGTGCTAGTGCTTGCCTCACTAGTCCTGACCTTGCAGCATCTCATGGGTATGAGCTGGGTCACCTGTGTGGATGGTGTGGGGACTTCTAGTCCCACCCTGCCCCCAACACTAAAAGCTTTTGCACTGATTCTCACAGCCAGGGGTGTGGAAGGGTGTGAAGGCTTGTCTGAAGCCCTCCAATGAAGACTATGTTTGGAACTCTGCTCAGTTTGGACTCATGACAACTATGTATTTGGAGGGCACAGGAGTGAGGAAAAGCTGAACCAACAGAACTTTAAGGTTTGGGAACAGCTAATAACTACTTAAAGAAGATTTTTTTTGTGTATGTGAAAAATCTAAACATGTAGAATAGTACTACAAAAAAAAAAAAAAAAAACCCATGTACTCATCACTCAATTCAACAGTTACTAAGATTTTGCAGTGGTTAAGGCATTTGACTGCTAGCCAGAAGGTTGGTGGTTCAAGCCTACCAGCCACTCCGTGGAAGGTAGATGGGGCGATCTACTTCTATAAAGATTTACCACCTCAGAAACCCAATGGGAGTCACTATGAGTCAGAATCAACTCGATGGTGGTGGGTTTGTTGGTTTGGCAGTGGTTGAGCACTCAGCTGCTAACTGAAAGGGCGGCAGTTAGAACCCACCAGCCGCTTTGTGGGACACGTGTGGCAGTCCGCATCTATAAAGTTTTACAGCCTTGGAAATGCTGTCTTAGAGGGTTGCTATGAATTGGAATTGACTCAACAGCAAGGGGCTTTTTGCTTCCTCTTTTATTTTTCTTTGCTGCAGTATCTTAAAGAAAACCCCACACATCGTATCCTCTCACCCCTATTATTTCAGTATGCATTTTGTTACATACTGACAATACCATCATACCACCTAACAAAATTCACAGCTGTTGGTATCATCTGATTTGCAGACCATGATCACATTTCCCTGATAGTCTCAAAAACATCTTTTTACAGTTGGCTTGTTTGTATTTTAATCTTGAGAAGTCTCCCTCCCTCCCTCCTTTGACTTGTTGCAGAAAGTGGGTCAGTTGTCTTGAGGAATAGCTCACATTCTGGATTTGTTGATTTCTTGTGCCATCTAACTTGTTCCTTCAGCCCCTATTGGTCCTGTAAAGCTGAGTGCACGTTGGGTCCACCTAGGGAATATTAAAAAATCTAGGTCCTAAAGATGCAACAATTGGTCTCTCCTCATCTAGAGCAAACAAAAGTGAAGAAAATCAAAGATTCATGGAAACAATTGGTCCAAGGGACTAGTGGACCATGAGAACCTCAGCCTATAAGACTCTGAGACCAGAAGAATTAGGTAATGCCTGACTACCACTGCCAACCACTTGGAAAGGTATCAAAAGTGGAGATCCTCAATAGAGTGGGAGATAAGTAAGAAACAAAAAAATCATTAAAAAAAAAAAAAAAAGACCAGACTTTGTGGACTGATACAGACTGGTGAAACCCCTGAGACCATGGCCCCTAGTCACCCTTCAGTCCTGGAATTGAACTCATCCCTGTGGTTTAACTTTCAGCCAAACAAGAGACCGATGAAGTGAACAATTAGACTAGGGAGGTACACTGCTTAGAACAATCAATCATGGGAGATCAGAAGGGCAGAGTTTGCACACACAGAGCTAGGGAGGCAGGGATGCATAGGGAAGAAGGACACGGAAGAGATAACCGTAGAGAGGAAGTGGGGAGAGAGCTGTTACACTGTGGGAATTGCAG